GTGGTTCTGACAGCACTAAAAATTTGAAAAACACAATTGTTTTTGCACGAAATCAATTTGAAAACACGATTCTGTTGCCAGAATGAAAGGGGGACAACTCATATCGAGTTATACTTATAAAACCCAGGTTGTGTGTGTGTGTGTGTGTTCGTTTATATATGGGATCGGATTTCCTACATTTTTCTACTGATTTCAACAAAACTTCACTTTTTTTGGCAGGTAGTGTTTCTTATTGTCTTGCACACTTTTTTCTTTATTTTTACATTCAAAATGCTTTAAAAATTTCATTTACAAGACAATTGTTTATAATAAAATTCTATTCAATCGATAGACTCATAACGATTGAAAAAAATGTTTTTGTTTGAGTTTGGGTTTGACCAATTCGTAAAAAAAAACAAAAAAATAATTAAGACATGCGTGTCCGTCAACCTTAAACAATAATCTTTGTCAATTTTATTTTTCAGTCTTTATGATGGTCGATACTTGATCTATCTCTTACTGTTACATCCCCGGGCAACGCCGGACTCTACTGCTAGTTAATTATAACGTTAGCATTTGCGTGTGTTTTCATCTATATTTACAGGTAGAAATCTATGAATATATGCGCGTTTAACTATGGTGATTTTCTAAGCGTAGCTTAGATGCGGCACAAGGCCGAAAATATGGGGTAGACTGCACCTCGCCAACCACACGCGATTTTTCTACCATTTAATGTGCGGCGGCTTGTGGAAATATGATGGTTGAGTTCTTTTTTATAAAAGGTAAATAAGAAAACTTTAGGTGCATGCAAACGAAACTGTTTAGAGGTACCAGTAAAAATATATATAAAGGTGTCGCTTACTTATATACAGAAAACCTTCAAAATTGATAGAGCCTTACCATGAGTGACATAACAGAGGCTTACATTACAAGAGCTTGCTTACATATACCTATTTCCATTCATAGATAGCATGGTATATATATATATATATATATATGCGCGCGCGCGTGTGTGTGTGTGTGTAGTCATTACATTGTAAACATATAGTCATGATAGGTATTACTAGTATCAATGAGAATACATATTCTAATTATTTATAAGCACCGATCTTATATACAGGGTGTCCATAAAGTTCGTGTGCACTTTAAAAAATTTTAACTTTATTTGTATTTGCGATAGAAATAATATGTAAAAAGGATTAGAAAGAAGTAAATCTATATTTTTTAAAGTTTTATTGAAATTTATTTAAGTTTCCACATGTCCGCCATCATTAACAATACAAAGGGTAATACGATTTTGCAGTTCACGGAAAACATTTGCCAACTTACATTAATGCCTGAAATCACATTAGTTATTTTAGCTATACTTAAAACTAGGTAAATTAAACTTTATAACATTTTTTTACAGATTATTTCTATCGCAAATACAAATAAAGTTATAAATTTTTTGAAGTGAACACGAACTTTATGGACACCCTGTATAATATTACCTCCTGTGTTAGGGTTAATCAGACTGCACCTCGCCAACCACATGCGGCTTTTCTGCCATTTAATGTACGGCGGCTTGTAGAAATATGATGGTTGAGTTCTTTTTTATAAAAGGTAAATAAGAAAACTTTTCAAGTTCTATGTTGCTGAAATGCAAATTCCTAGAACGTTCATGTAGTTCATTGCCATATTAAAAACGCTAAATATCAGTCAAGATTTTGAAAATATTTGCTTATTTTATGCCATGTTGTTTCAGGCGATCATGGCTCTCCATTGATTCTTTCCCTTTATTATCTATGAGTTGTGTCTTCTTGTGAAAGATTGTGAAGTGGTTTCCCATTGCTTTCACAACGATTCCGAACTCTTATACTTCTCTTAGACTGACTGCCACTCTGGAGAGCCCAATCTACACTGCTGTTTAATCCGTAGCCGGGAATAGAATAGAAGAGATGGATTCACAACTTTCTCAAGGGCATTAGTGCGAGGAAACGCTTCAGACTAGGCTGGGATTTGAACCCTGTTCACTGACCTCACTACTCGCACATTCCCACTTTGTGATTCTTCTTTTATGTACCGTATCCCTACAGGACGTGGGCGATCATAGCTTTCCACAACTTCCTGTCTTTTGTAACTTTTGACTCTTTACTATCTATCTTTGTAAATGTTCTGTCACACAAACTCGTAAGCTAAGTTACTCGATGTTTCCCCATACGCTTAAGATTATATGCACCGATGACAAGCCATGTTAGATCTTCTAGTTCTTTTAGTATTGTCTCGCCAAATAGATCTGGTGAGAACTCATCTTTGCCTTATTCATCTATTTTTCTGCACTCGTTGAACTCGTTCGACACGCAGGAGATTTGTTCCAAATAAAGGTTACGGATTATTCTAATAGCTTTACCATATTTAGTGTCGTAATTTATCCAATGCTTTTGTGTAATCTATAAAAAATTAGTCCAGGTCTTTCTGTATTTGCATGGCTCGATCTGACAGCATTCTGATCATAAATATAGCATTTCTTGTTTCAGAGTTTTGAACCAAACCATAATGTTCTTACTCTATTTTCGATCTAATCTACTACGAGCGCTATTCATTAGAGTCCTAATAATAAGTTGATTGTCCGATGATGTTTGCATTCATTTACACTTAGCTCCTTTGTGATTGCTATGAAGCTTGATCGACTGAGGTCTTCCAGTATTTCGCCGCTGTCGTATATTTCATGAATTATATCGGCAAACTTATCCATGTCAAAATCATCTAATGCCGACAGCGTCTCTTTTATAATTCTATTTGGTTCCGTTGCTTTGTTTCTCTTCATCTTGGCCAGTGTGAATCTTAACACAGTTCCTTCTGCATTATTGTGTATTGTAGGTTTTCTCTTTTCGGTAGTAGTTGGAGAGTTCTCTGATGTATTCGTCCCATCTTTATGGTATCATTTCTTTATCTATTATGAACGCTCCCTTTTTAGATTTTATGCATCCTGTCGAGAAGCATGTTTTTTTCTTTTGCTATTTCTTTTATCTTTTTATGCATGCCTGCTATGTCTGTTCTCTAGGGTTTCTATCGCTGCTTACTTTATTTTGTGATTACTGAAACTAATAAAAATTAACAGTTTAGAAAAACGCATATGTGAATAAATGTTATTGCATTATTTGTTAATATTTGTTGTTGTAAAGAAAAATGTGTGTGCAAGAAAAAAATATGTCTATAAATTTTGTCTTAAATATCTGAAGTTTATCGTATGTTTTTGTTACCTTAAACAAGTTTGGCTAGCTTTGCCTTATATATACATACATACATACATACATACATACACACACACACACACACACACACACATATATATATATATATATATATATATATATATATATATATATATATATATTTATAATTAAAAGACAAAAAAATTGCTAAGAACACCGGATTATAAATCTGTTCTTTCTTGTTATTTTAATATATGTATTTGTGTGTATATATATATATATATATATATATATATATATATATATGTGTGTGTGTGTGTGTGTGTGTGTGTGTGTATGCAAAAATGTATATATATTTATATATGCACACAAAATTTATATATACACAATACACACACACACACACACACACATTTCCATTTATATATAAAGTAGGTACTTCCAAACCTTCGATAAAAAAGAGGATATATGATGACAAAATGCCGAAACATAATAAAAACGATTCTTTTCGTCAAAAGCATTGTGTTATTATTAAGAGGAAAGGTCAAAGGGTTTTTTTTAATGAAATTCTTTTTTTAAATTCTTTTTACAATCTTCAAAATTTTGGTTAAAAATCTTTTTTTTATCGTCAACGTGAAACCATAAATTTGTACGGGAAATTTAAACGTCTTTTTGCGGTGATGGACATACTGATTTGGAAATTCTTGCAAAAATAAAAAATAAAAACTTGATAAAATGTTTTTTCCTTTTTTACATTTGGTACGCCCACATTTAATTTTATGAAATTTCAATAAATTCTATTTGTATCTCTTAATGTTCATATTTCTTATAAGTACAATTTACAATTCTCAATATTACTGCGTAGTTAAAGATATTATATAAAAATGACGTTCACGTTGTATTCGTGATGTAATTTTTCCAGTTCTGTCCTTATTTAATTTTTCAAAACATCAGGCTGTAAATAATTCACTCAACACATCAAAAAAACACTCCCTCTATGTGAAAATATATTATTTTCTACGATTTAAACTAAAAGTAAGTAATATTTTGTTTAAATTCAGATTAATTAAATTTTAATTTTGTTAATTCTTCTCAAATAACGTTTTGGAAAAGTATATTTTACTTTTGGAAGATTTTTTAATGAAGATAATTATGTTGTGTTGACAGATCTGTTAACATTTATTGATTTTTTTACTGATGAGAAGAAAAAAATTCAGTCAATTTAAATTCGATTTGAAATACACCAAACCCAAAAATGTACTTTGCTTATTGGAAATATTAAATTTAATTAAAATTAAATCTTCAAGAAATATTTTTCATTTTTTAAAATGCATTTTTAACTTTACTTTAGGCCTCTTTTTTGGTGGTGATACTTAGTATAAAGTACTTTATCAGCTAATAAAAGAATATTAGAATGAATATATGAGCACGTGTGTGAGCGCGCTCACACACACACACACACACACACACACAGATGCTCTCCAAAAAGCGCGTTTATTTTGAATGATAGTAAGTTAAATATTAAAGAGTCTCAGTGAATGCCAAGAAGCTGAAGAACTGATAGACAAACATACAGAGAGCGGATGAGAAAGAAAGCATCTCTAAAATGAGAGACTGGGTGGGAAAGCGAAATAGAAATAAGAGACTGAAACAAAGGAGGGGTTAACCAGAGCCGACAAAGTGTCAGCAGCCAGCTTACTCGTCATAGCAGTCGTGTTGTATAACATTAGAGGGTGAGTGAATCTTTGCCGATTTCCTTTCTTTCTAACGCCGCTCAGCGCGGCAACAAATCACTAAAACTTTTGGTTGGAGTTGTTCTATTGCCACATGCTGCGTTGTTTGCGAGGAAAGAAATCCTGGAAGCATGATTTAAAAGTAGCGGACATGCGGAAGGTAAGTGTTTATATATTTTATGACCGTCAAATTGCGTTGCTTAAATTATTTTAAATAGTTTAAAAAGGGCGTAGTTATATTGCAACTTACTAGAACTTGTTTATTTTATTGTTTATGGGCGGTTTTTACTTTTTTTAATTTTAAAAGTACTTGCCCAAAAATTTCGATATTTATTCGGTAATTTAAAGACGTTTTCTTTTCTAAACCGTATTCAAGTTGTCGCTTTGATTTAACAACATTTCAAATAAATTTCCTGGTATTTACCTATAATGTATTAGTAGAGATAAAACATGAAATGTAATTTTATTCTGTCACCTGAATAGCCGACGTTCTTGTGAATTATATTTGCTTTTAAAAATCCTATCAATAAGGAATATAATTTGAATTTTAGTATATTTAATATATATTAATTAATATATTAAATTTATTATAATATATAAATTTTCTTATTTCATCAAATGTTTTGAAATAGGTTGAATAATTTAAAAGATATTTCCTACTTTTCTTAAATAATATGAAAATAGATTTTGATAGTTTTTTGGTTAAAAAAAAGCATATGATGATGATGATGATTAAGATTCATAAGTAAAGTATCTCAACACAATCAAGATTCATATGTGTTATAATATTTATTGTTGTTGTTGTTAATAATGATGATGATGATAATAATAATAATAATAATAATAATAAACGAGGATGAATTAGTAAGTCCATAGCTTGGCATGTAGTTATTTGCTGAAATTTAATCTGAAATTTTCACTGTAAAATGTTCTGTGTGATTAATGCTCGCCACTGAATTGTGAATTAACAAAGGAGGAGATTATGTTGAAAGATAAATGCTTTTTTTGCATCATTAGGTTTCCTATTTATTGAGGAAACATTTTAATATGAATGTGAAATTTCACAAAAATTGCAAGAGATGACTAGCATAAAGAGGAAGCAAGAGAGAGACTCACAAACCGAGATAGTGAGAAAGGCAGAGAAAGAGAGAAAGTGTGTGACAGAGAGAGAGACTCACAGAGGCAGGTACTCACTGAGAGTGACAGAGAGAGAGAGAGAGAGAGAAAGAACGATAGAGAGACTCACGGGAAGAGAGACAAAGAGAGAGAGATAACAGAGAGACACTCACAAAAAGAGAAAACGAAAAGCAGTTACAGAGAAACAAATACTCACTGAGAGAGATAGAAAGAGAGAGACACTCAGAGAGCGAGAGAGAGAAAGTGAACGATATAGAGACTCGCGGAGAGAGAGATAGATAGATAGAAAGAGTTTTCTCTCTCTCTCTCTCTCTCTCTCTCTCTATCTATCTATCTATCTATCTATCTCTATCTCCGTGAGTCTCTATATCGTTCACTTTCTCTCTCTCGCTCTCTGAGTGTCTCTCTCTTTCTATCTCTCTCAGTGAGTATTTGTTTCTCTGTAACTGCTTTTTGTTTTCTCTTTTTGTGAGTGTCTCTCTGTTATCTCTCTCACTTACATATAGAGAGAGATGCAGAGAGAACAACAGAAATAGACACTCACTAAGAGAGCAAGAAAGAGAAAGGGAAAGAGAAAGGGGAAAGACGAAGTTACAGTGAATGTTGCACCCTTAACATTTACATTTCGTTTTAAATCTATTTTTGAGATGGCCATGAAATACCAGCAGATGTTGAAAGTTTCTCGAACCTACCCACATCCCAAATCTGACCAAATGACCAAACAAAATTTAAGGATGTAGAATCCTCTTGGTTGAACTGAGAATTTTTCGGCACCCCCATCGTATAGTGCTATGAATATTTCGCGATTGAATGTCAATAAATATTGTAGAAAAATGCGCAAAAGTCAGATGTCAATGAAAACAACAATTTAGCCGCGTCTCCCTTCATCCATTCAAAACCGAGTACACGTGCAATACTGCTTTCCGTTTTATTCATATAGTGAACAGTCAGTTTATATTACTACACAAACAAATGGTCTATAAATTAATGATAGGTGTTAATTGAATCAATGGCTGAATGATAGCCAAACCATGGCTCAGAATTTACGGATCAGGGCATTAACATTCAGAACTTAACTATATGTGAGTGCGTGCCTGTCATATCATAGAGATGCGTGCGTACGTGTGTGTCTGTCATATTTACTCACTCGCAGACGCATACAAACACACACGCACGCACACACACACGCACGCACACACACACACACACACACACACACACACACACACACACACACATATATATATATATATATATAAACATCGTCACACATCGAAACACAACGGTAGTTGGTTAGACCATGAACGTGTTGTGTGGGCAGAACATAATCTTAAAATTGAATTTATATTTAGAAAATGATAATTACAAAGAGATGTGCCGGTAGGATTACTTTGAACTCAAAAGGAAAGAGAAAACAACGAGAAACCACTTCACTATCTTTCCTAAAATGTCATGGTCATTCACAGATAATAAAAAAGGGGAGTCATATGGTTGTCTAGATCCTAAAAAAAAGATAGCTTTAAAATGCTAATAAACAAAATTCATTGTAGAATTTATCATAAAATATGACCAAAAAAGAATATTTCTTTTTTTTTTCTGACCAAACGATAACGGGTTGTGAATCCTTGAATGTTTGCACGGATAAAGAGACAAATAGAAACGAGAGAAGGAAAGAGTGTCTCACAATTCCATCAATTAATTGAATTTAAAAGAAAATTGTTAAAAAACTGCATTTACTGATGATAAGACTTGTTCAGTCTTATTATGGATGCCTGAACAATAAAAACAAAAACTCATTCCTATCATTATATTCATCTGCTGTTGTCATGAGTCGAGAAAAAATGATTAAAAAACAAAGAAAAAGCTGTCTACGTAGCAGTTTTCATGTATTTGTTTTATTATCAATGAATCACCGAATAATAAAGTCATCGTCCGATGTGGATGTCTGTCGTGGAAGTAAACATTGTGTACAACTGATAAGAAAGCAAATAATAATAATAATAATAATAATAATAATAATAATAATAATAATATCGGCTGGTGGACGAGATGGGTTTTAGTTTAAATAAGAAAATATAGAAACGAAAACTTGGATGTGCGACAGTTTCTTTTACTGGGATCATTAACAAAATGTAAATTTTAAAAAAACAACAGAAAAATTACTGTAAATAGTAATATGTATTCTTGTAAAATTTAAAGACATAGCGCCATGATCGTATGCACTTGTGGTTCTTTAGTAGACCCGTTCTCTTTAATATATTTAAACAAAACAAAGATTATTCTTAGAAAAGAGAATGAAATAGAATTTGAATAATGTTTAGTAACAGCTTTTCATTGATTCAAGAGTTTTTCATTGATGCATAAAACATGAGACAATTTTTTTTTTTTTTTTTTACTTTTAGTTAAGTTTTATGTTTACATAAAAGAGCGTATCTTTCAATTCAATGACTGGGAATATATTTGTAATTGAGCACTTTCATCTAAACTTCTAGATATTTTTAGTACCTGTGATTATGAAGTTGTGTCGGTTTCATTCAAATTCAAATATGTTTAAAACTCGACGTTGACCTTTATGCATTATGATACAATTCAAAGTTGGGTTCAAAATTGTCTGCAAAGGCATCAGAACTTAAATTAAACAAGCTTATCATAACGGAACGACCAGATTTTTTTTTCACTTATGATTTGCATAAACCTAGGATTATATCGTATTATTTTTTAACAGTTTAAAAGACTTTCTTAATTTGGTTGATAGTAATTTTCTACGTTGGAACAGTTTTTGAGATAACCGTTACATGATAATTAGTGTTTACCACACACCAAGATTTGGTTGTTAGAATTCATCATTATTAAAGGGAAAATACTATATTATCTATTAAAATTTCTTAAAAATGCACATATTGTTCCGTTCTAAGAGGCAACGTATCAAGTACTTGTATTTTACATAGCTATTTAAATAACGCTGTTCAATTTTATTTCGATGTTCCGTCACGAATTTTACATTCGTTTTCTTATTTCATTGACTGAAATATGAAATCATTTAGTTGCTATTTTAATTATTTATTTTTTTCAACCGACATTTTCTTTCATATCACCTAACTCAGAAATGCTTTTGTACTCATGACATTGACGTGATTGATTTCAATAAAGAAGAGAATTTACTTGACACGGTCTTTGGTGAAAGTAAATAAATTCTTTTGTACATAAAAAAGATGAATCACAAGCAACATCAACATTCTCTGTCAAAACATGTGAATATTCCACTTGCCGGTTTAATTCAGTAAGGAATAAAAAAGAATACGAAATCCTGTTCAAAGACGAGTTCAATATTACAAAGAAATTGAGCAGAAAAACTTAAATTTCAATTCTGAGTAAAATCACCTTTTGGAAGGCAACTAGTCAATTATTCATAAATTTATAAATTTCTGGTTTCTGCAACCCAATTAAAGGAATGCAGTGGCGTAGCTAAGGAGAGGGGGGCGGACCGCACCGGGTGCCAGCACAGGAGGGGGTGACACAATGTCACCCCCAACAAAATTTTTCAACCAGGCTAAGGTGCCAAAAATAGTCTGAAAACAGTGGTGGAGACACAGGGTTTCGCAGGCGGGCATATGACCCCCCGCCCCGAAATAATTTATGACCCCCCCCCAGTTTTGTCCCCCACGTCAGAAATTTTCTAATAAATTGTCGGGAAATTTGTAAGTAGGAAAAATAGCAATGTTTTCAGCTTTTGATTTGAACTGATTATTTTGTGGTATTGGATTTTGTCTTGGATCATACATGTAAACAGTAACGTACCGGTCAGTAGAGTAAAGTAGAGGTAGAGCATGTATGAAAATTTAGCTACAGCTAACCATTCAGCATAGGGTGAATCGGGGTCATTTGGGGTGACATTTGAGCGGACCGCCCCGGGTGACGTTTAGGAATGCACGAGTTATTTCAAAGATCGATTTAGAGCAAGAAATTCCCTTCAATGATGAATCTTATATCAACACACATAAAGAGGTATACAAGATAATTGCA